GTGGGTTGGTGGATGGATGGATGGATGGATGGATGGATGGATGGATGGATGGATGGATGGATGGATGGATGGATGGATGGATGGATGGATGGATGGATGGATGGATGGATGGACAATCATTCACACACATAGATTTAACAGTAAATAAAACTGTATAACTAGTTACTGGCTGTTTTAAGGTGGTGGTGGTGGCTGCTGCTCCTTCCCATCCTCTGTTCTCCTGTTACTCCTCCTCCCCCCAGTGAGGAGTTGTACAGTCTGATGTCATGAGGAACAAAGGAGTTTTTCAGTCTGTTAGTCCTGCACTTGAGAAGGAGCAATCTGTCTCTGAACAGGCTCCTCTGTTTACTGATGAGGAGGGTGACTGACATCATCCATAATGTCCTCCAGCTTATCCAGAGTCCTCTTCTCTGCCACCAGCACCAGAGTCAGCCTTGACACCCGGCTCGCCTTAATGTATCAATGGATATGCTGCACCCCTCCCGCTTCCCTCCCGCAGTGTTTCACCTCCTGCTGTGCTGCCTTGGTGGCCTCCTTGTCCAGGCAGCTCTCTTCCTGTTGAGGACAGCCTATGAGAGCAACAGTGTCTTAGCAGGGGAGACCACGTCTGCAGAGAAGTTAAGATAATGTGTCAGACACTGTGTCAACCCTTCTATGGCTTTACAGTGCACATTCATCAGCTTGTCCCAGACCGTGGTGTTAGAGCAGTCTCCCAGGTCACTCTCCATTCCAGGGGACCACCTTCTGGTGAAGCAGGTTGTCACTGACTGCCTTTGGACCAGGGGAGTGTACTGTGGTTGTAGATGGACCAGGTTATGATCAGACCTCCCTAGAGGAGGAAGGGGTGTGGCTCTGTATGCATCCCTCACATTAATACACAGTAAGTCAATGGTCTTGTTGGTTCTCGTTGGACAGTTCACAGCCTGTTGAAGCAGCCAAAGTAGAGTCCAGAGTAAAGTCCACCTTCATGTGACAGGGAGGATCTTCTCACGTGCAGTGGCTGCTTCAGCTCTTGGAGAGATGTAAACACAAGCAGCCATCACATGACCAAACTCCCTCGGCAGATAATATAACTTATTATATCTTACTGTTTCTGATCCCATTCCAGTTCAGTTCACTTACAAAACAGTTTTAAATTACTTTTGGGAACTTGTATAAATTGTGGTTTAAATCTTACTTTGTTTCGACCTTCGGTACGGAGTGTGCACGGAAAGAAGGCCCTCGGTAAAACAGGTTTAAACTGCCCATCATCTGTGTTTGATCAGTATTTAGTTTTCTCTTCAGGCTGATTATCTTTTTGATTTTTTTATCACCTTCAGTTGCCACCAGTCCGTTTCCACAGTCAGCCTGCCACGCCCAGTTACACCTGTTCTCTGTTTGATCAGTCACAGCTGCAGCCTCTCTGCTCACCAGACCCTGTCCCTTCAGTCCGTCAGCTTCACCTCACTCTTCAGACGTGTCAGTCTGACAACAGCTGACTGACTGACTGACTGACTGACCGACTGACTGACTGACTGACTGACTGACTGACTGACTGACTGACTGAC